CCGCCCATGCCTCTGGTCAGCGGGTACATAGTGACAGTGCCCCTCACCTACCCACTGACCAAGGTCGGCGTGGCTACAGTGCCCCCGCCTTCACCACTGACAACAGCAAGCGGCGACTAGACGGAGAGCACTGTACACGACTCGACTCGGCCACGCCCTGACGATCGACAAGACGGCGCACAGTCCTCCTAGGCATGCGGGGCCCGCACCTAGGGGAACCCAGCGAATCACAAGCCCTCAGCAAGGACCAGCCCGGGTCCCCGGACACCGACAATACGGACCCACCGACTTGTAACATTACCATCATACCCCTGGGGGGTTGGACTATAAAACCCCCCAGGAGCCCTCGATCACGACAGACTACATAGGGAAGAGAACTCATTCCATCACACACACCAAGTTAGCAACACCCGAGGAGAGGGAACTGCCTAAGCCTTGGCCATCTTCCTTCCTCCTCCATACAGCTCCAGGAGCAACATTGTACTTATCAATCATACAACAACACTCGGCAGGACTAGGGGTATTATCTCTCTGGAGAGCCCCGAACCTGGGTATGTCCGGCATCCCGCGCCCGCTCATGCCAACCTCGCCTCTGGAGTCCACCAGCACCCTCGAGCCTCCTCCTCTCTTTAGCCATCCCTTGGCATCTGCCGTGCGCCCACCACGACAGTTACCCTGAGGGTTTTTAGAATATTTGGCAATTTATAGGGCGAAGAGGCGGTGCGGGAGGCCGCCGAGGTGGGCACAACCCACCAGGGCGCGCCTGGTGGCCCAGGCGCGCCCTGGTGGGTTGTGCCCCCCTCGAAGCACCCCCAGGTGCTGCTCTGGCCCATTGGATGTCTTCTGGTTCATCAAAAATCCACAAAAAGTTTCGCGGTGTTTGGACTCTGTTTGATATTGATTTCCTGCGATGTAAAAAATAAGCAAAAAATAGCAACTGGCACTAGGCACTGGGTCAATAGGTTAGTTACAAAAAATGATATAAAGTTGCTATAAAATGATTGTAAAACATCCAAGAATTATAATATAACAGCATGAATACTTCATATATTATAGATACGTTGGATACGTATCAGCCGACAACAGCAACAACAACCACAAGAGGCAGGATTTCAGCAAAGCAGAGTTTACACAGTATCTATCCCCTCTAGTGTTTTGCAAACTACTCTTAAACAACTAAACCAAACAACACCAAATTTGGCAGACAAGTAAACACACGAGTTCTTGAGATCCCCTCAAAATTTCAGCTCAGTTGGACATTGTTTGCCTACTCAAAATATTCTTCTCCCAAAACTACTCTATTCTGAAAATGCAACAGTTAGAGCTGACAAAACCACTCTCAAATCGGATGCTCCACTGACTCAATACTCAAACCAGGTAACCAGATTGAAGTAACCAAAGTAAGGAATGAGTTCATAAAGTTTGGGGTCAATCGCAAGCTTGACACTGTCAGTCACATGCAACAAATCTGAACAGAACCTCCGCTTCTTCTTCTCTCTCTCTCTCTCTCAGGTTGTGTGTTCTCTCACTCTCATGAAAATGGCAGGGACCACCAGCAGGGGTGGAGTGGGTAGGGTTTTCTCCTTGCTCCCTTCACAAGGGAACACTCACAACCATCGGATGTAAAACAGATCAACGGTTCATATGTATTGGAGTTGTGTGGGATGATGTTGGATTGCCAAGTGCCAACACACCTCCGACTTAGCCCGACATTGTATTGATTTAAGGTTTTAAGTATGAGACTAGCAAAAGGGCCTCTGCGTTACAACGGGAGAAAAAATATCATAACCTCCAATGGCTATGACTATATTTTGCTGCATCACCGAGATACACTATCACTCTCAATTTCATGAAATCATGAAAAAAAATTAAACTCATGCACATATCTGAAATCGTGAACACTTCTAATTTTTTGAATTTCTAAAAACAAGAACATTTTTTGAATTCCTGAACTTTTTATACTATTGACAAACACTTTTTTAAAATTGTGAGCATTCTTTAAACAATTTTCTTAAATTGGCGAACATTTCTAGAATCAATGGATATTTATTGGAAATTCATGGAGCAATTTGTGAAATTCATGAACAAATTTTTTTTATTTACCAAACATTTTTTCATTTAATGAACGTTTTTTTAAATGCATGATTATTCTTTGAATCATCGAACATTTATAATGAAATTATTTTGTAAGTCACGAACAAGTTTTGAATTTTTAGGACAGTTTTTTGAATTGGCGAAATTTTGTTCAATTTCATTAACATTTTTAATACACAAACTTGCTAAAAATCATTTTTTATTTCCCAAACAATTGTTTTTAATTTGCGAACATTTCTTTTTCAATATGCGAATACTTTTTGAGTCCTCCTCATGAGTCGGTGATGGGTGCCAAAGACGGGCTTCTCCATGTCAGCACGATACATTGCCTGCCTATGATTCCACCCTTGTTTTAGTTTTGATCTTTTAACCAATAAATTTCATACTTTCCACTAAATTCCATAGTTTATAATATTTTTTGCATTTTCTCTGTAATGCCATTAAATAATTTACACCAAATTAAAAACTATGAACATTTAAAAAAATCATTTGACCCTTCCTTCTATTTTATGCAATTGCATTTCCAAATTCCTTTTGAATCATAATTTTTGGACACTTCTAAAACCTAGTGCTACTTCAAACCCATTTGAATTAAACCTTGCACTGCCCACTTCTAATTTTCTTGGAACAAGCACGTTTTTGTGAGTCCAGGAAAAATAACACCTTACCAAAACACCATTCCTATCCCTCTATCCTTTTTATTCTTTCTCTTTTAAATTTAATAAATAGAATAAGAGGAGAGAGAGAGAGAGAGAGACCAACCTAGCAACTAACTCGGCCGGTCCATTTGCCCTAAGGCCCAGCCCAGTCGCACCTTCACCTAACCTGCCCGCGACCTGAATCCAAGGGACCTCCTATACGCCGCAGTCTGCCGCAAAGTGTCGTCGCTTCGCACAGGCGGCCTCCGGCTGGGCCGGCCCAGTACCACCAGCGGACTTGTACTGTAGCTCAAAAAAATATCAACTTTGTGGGGAATCTAACCAGGGATCTCGTGCTACAGACTAGGATCTGCGACCATTTGAGCTAGTGAGCTTTTCTACTTAGATAGCAGCGCCAATCTTTAATAACTAACACACAGGGCAAATCCGAATTATTTTTGGAATTTCGACTGCATTTTTTTAAGAAAAACTAAGAGTTTTCTGAAACGGAGATACCATTAAAATTTCAGAATGGTTTTTTATAAACTGAAATGTTTTTTTCAATCAGGAACAGTTTTTTTAAACGGGAACATTTTTTTCAAATTCCAAAACAAAACTAGGCAAATGCGAATAATTTAAACTCCCAACTAAAATATGCAAGCATGAACTTTTTTTTGAAATTTCTGAACAATTTTTGATAAGGGAACATTTTTTGAAACTTCAAAAAAGAAAACACAAACATTTTTTGAAACGGGAACATTTTTTTGAAAAGTTGTGAAATTTTGGAGCAGAAATCATTCTGAAGTTTTTTTGAAAGAACACAAACAATTTTTTGAATAAGCGAACATTTTTTATTTTTTTGAAAAATAATCGGCTCTGAATTTTTATCATTTTGTAGAAGCAAGAACATTTTTTAAAAATCACGAACATTTTTTAACACCCGAAGTTTTTTTGAAAATCATGAACTTTTTTTCGAATTTATGAACAATTTTTTAAAAACGACCATTTTTTAAATTTTGAACTTTTTAAAAGGCAAGAACATTTTTCTAAATTTAAAAACAATTTTCGAACATGAACTTAGTTTTAAAAAGATAAAATAACCTTAAAAGGAAAAAAGAAAAAACTAACAGAAAATAAAAGGAGGAAAAAACAGAAACAAAAAACAATAGAAAACAGAAAAACCAGTAAAAAAGGGTTCAGGGAACCTTCAGAAGGTTCCGAAAACCAGCTGGCTGTTGCGATTGTACGCTCAAAAACTGGGCCGGCCCATCGCGTCGCTGCTCGGTCGCTCGTGTATGGGAAGCGCCGGCAGTTTGACGCAAAGTGCGTCAAATAGGATTTCGCTGAGTCCAAAGTCAGCAGCCAGCGATTCAGCGAGCGTACCCGGCCAGAAACGTAAGGTTTAAGTGCGCGTGCGGCAGTAAGCACCAAAGTGATCCAGACAATCAAGGAAACAGCGACACCATTTTTAGCAGTCCAAGTTTCAACGCGTGGTGACAGGTTGAGTGGACATCCGGGCTGCTTGGCCATACCAGAGCGGACAAGAGAGCAGCGAGACGTATCCAAGCATCTTGCGGCGAGGTCGGAGATGACTGTACGTCTCCACGCGACCACGGGTGATCATGCACCGCAGGGATGTAGCCAGCCAGCGTTTGCCGGTCCACGGCACGTCATCAGTGACCAAGGTCCTGAATAGGACCCACATGATCAATTGACGATTCTTTGGGCCACGTTCTTCCTATTGGTCTAAGATAAGATCGGCAGTCGGAAATCACTGGCAATTTGACAACGAAATCATGCACATACATTATGCAGCACGTCTATGCTACCTGCTAAATCACTAATCTGTATTAAAATAAGTGGGCAAGCGACCTGCTTGACCCATCACCCATGGCGGGTGCACCCATATCATAAGAGCATAATAATCGGTGTCTATATAAGAGTGCTATACTAGTATAATATACTGCGCAACACAGGACGGCAGTTCACTCATCACAAGCTGCCAGTCTGTCTGTTAGTCGAACGATCAGTTCGTCCTAAGCAGATGAAAATGTCTCCGGAAAGACGAGGAGCGGAGGGCAAGGAAGAAGGATCGGGGATGGCTTCTGCTGCGCTCTCGGAGGCGGGGGCAGTCCAGCCAAGGCCACCATCGTCCTTGGCTACGGTACACACATGCTTTGTTTCCTTCCCGTATGTCAGATAGAGTACGCATCTTCTTCTTCCTTGGGGCATGCATAACTCTGTTCCGACTGCCCAGACGTTGGGGTGATGAGCGGTGCGTCGCTGTACATCAAGAGGGACCTGCAGATCACGGACGTGCAGCTGGAGATCATGATGGGCATCCTCAGCGTGTACGCGCTCATCGGGTCCTTCCTCGGCGCGAGGACGTCCGACTGGGTCGGCCGCCGCGTCACCGTCGTCTTCGCGGCCGCCATCTTCACCACCGGCTCCTTGCTCATGGGCTTCGCGGTCAACTACGCCATGCTCATGGTCGGCCGCTTCGTCACCGGCATCGGCGTGGGCTACGCCATCATGGTCGCGCCCGTGTACACGGCCGAGGTGTCGCCCGCGTCGGCCCGCGGCTTCCTCACGTCTTTCACCGAGGTGTTCATCAATGTGGGCATCCTCCTTGGCTACGTCTCCAACTACGCCTTCGCGCGCCTCCCGCTCCACCTTAGCTGGCGCGTCATGCTCGGCATCGGCGCCGTCCCGTCCGCCCTGCTCGCGCTCATGGTGTTCGGCATGCCGGAGTCGCCCCGCTGGCTCGTCATGAAAGGCCGCCTCGCGGACGCCAGGGCCGTGCTGGCCAAGACCTCCGACACGCCTGAGGAGGCTGTGGAGCGCCTTGACCAGATCAAGGCTGCCGCCGGCATCCCTAGGGACCTTGACGGCGACGTGGTCGTCATGCATAAGACAAAAGGCGGCCAGGAGAAGCAGGTGTGGAAGGAGCTCATCTTTTCGCCGAACCCAGCCATGCGGCGCATACTGCTCGCGGCGCTCGGCATCCATTTCTTCCAGCAGGCGACGGGCTCCGACTCCGTCGTGCTGTACAGCCCACGCGTGTTCCAGAGCGCGGGCATCACCGGCGACAACCACCTGCTCGGGGCCACATGCGCCATGGGGGTCATGAAGACGCTCTTCATCCTGGTGGCCACGTTCCAGCTCGACCGCGTCGGCCGGCGGCCGCTGCTGCTGACCAGCACGGCCGGCATGCTCGCCTGTCTCATCGGCCTTGGGACGGGCCTCACCGTCGTGGGTCGGCACCCGGACGCCAAGGTCCCGTGGGCCATCGGCCTGTGCATCGTGTCCATCTTGGCATACGTGTCCTTCTTCTCCATCGGCCTCGGGCCCCTCACCAGCGTGTACACCTCGGAGGTCTTCCCGCTGCGGGTGCGCGCGCTGGGCTTCGCGCTCGGCGCGTCATGCAACCGCGTGACCAGCGCCGCGGTCTCCATGTCCTTCCTGTCCCTGTCCAAGGCCATCACCATCGGCGGCAGTTTCTTCCTGTACGCCGGCATCGCAGCGATAGGATGGATTTTCTTCTTCACCTTCATTGCGGAGACGCGTGGCCTGCCGCTCGAGGAGATAGGGAAGCTTTTCGGCATGACGGACACGGCCGTCGAAGCCCAAGACACGGCCACAAAAGACAAGGCGAAAGTGGTGGAGATGAACTAGTGAGCCAAAAGTCACCCAACTGTTGCTAATGTACCATAGAAGATGTATCTGATCAACGTGGTAATATACGTGTCACGGAATCGTGGTGCTCATTGATGGATTGTTTGGACAAAATTTCAAGAGAATTGTTTCAAGATTGGATCAATCGGGTAAACGTTGACATGACATCTCTTGGCCCGTTGATGCTGCTCAGCGTGTCATTGATATCCATTAGCACTTGCATTGCATGATGGATAGCTTTATCTGGTGGCATTTGGCATTTGTTCGGTTAAATCGTCCTTTCAATCTATATCTATATCTATATCTATCTATATCTATGTCTATATATCTTATCTCTACAAATAAAGCACGGAGTGCTTCCGTCGGTTCACCGTCACACCATTTTATAAAGATCCCCTATGTTCTCTGTAAATTAACCCACAATACACGTTTAAGTCACAACTAAACTGTTTTTAACATTTTCTTAAAAAATCCCCTGACATTTCAGGTAATAACCCGTCATTCATATTTAAGTCAGACGAATCTTTTTTAGTTTAACATTTCAGTTAATCAATCCGCAGCTTATTTAACATAAAATTATCCATATCCTTTAAACTGTAACTTCAAATTTAACATGTTATATATGAAATTTGATTAAAAAATGTGTAGAATCTAAATATGATACTCCCTCCGTCCGGAAATACTTGTCACTGAAATGGATGAAACGAATGTAGTTAGAACTAAAATATGTCTAGATACATCCATTTCTCCGACAAGTATTTCCGGATGGAGGGAGTACTATTTAGCTGTTAAATATTTCTAAAATATTGTTTTGGTGCAAACATAATCTATAGTGCACGTTCCGTTTTTCTTTCATACCGGCGATGATCCAAATTGTAAATAAACACCTGTTAAAACCATATTGGGAGGAAAGGAAACATCGATAACCAAGCATGCACACCTCTGAGAAACCTCGCAGGGAAAAATGCGCGCGCGCGCGCGCGCGCGCGC